GCGCAGCCAGCCGACGAGGCTGAGTGCAAATGAGGTTGCAGCGAGCACCCTCACCCCTGTCAATATGGTCATCCAGGAGTAGCTGTGGTATCTGCGTGGTTTTGCCTGAACCCGTTGCAGCCATGCAAATTGTGACATCATTCTCACGTATGTGTGACACGAGCTCCTCCGATCGAGCATAGATGGGCAACGCAGCTCTTGTGTTTCGCATCTTTTCCATCGCTGGATCCGTAACGTATTTTTTTCTTCGTTCCCTGAGTTCTTCCGACTTTTGGGTAAATAAACCCTGAGGAAACCTGCGGGTATAGAACGGTCGTGGGGCAGGAACAGGGACAGGTTGAGATCTCGGAGTGTCTGAGCTGGACCCGATGACGGGTCTGTTCCTGTATAGAGTGCTCTTTTTGATATCGTCATTTAGCTTGTGTATCTCTTCCTCGAGTTTTGTGCTGATCTGGAAGTAAACCTTCGGGGCTAAACCAAGGTCCTTCCCAGTTTTGGACGCCTCCACGAAAGTCTTCCATAGGTCGGGATCACATTGCTGCAGATACTGCACGACGTCCAAGTAGCACTGTATCTGGGCTGCTTTCTTGGTTGCGCTGGAGCCCATGCCGATCTTTTTGTCACCCACAATCATAACAGCTGCCCAAGTCGACTTCGCGCGCCCCTGACGCTGTTCTTCCAGCTCGATATCCGGCTTGCTAAATCCATATCTGCGACAGTAGTAGTCCATAAAGCTTCGCGCGCGCTCGTAGTCAACGACTGAACCATCGCTCAGCTCGATGACTTGTGGAGCAGAACTCAAGGATACTGAAGGCTTGGGCTTGTCAAGCTGACCGCATTCATTAGAACCAGATGAGTTGTTTGCAATCTGTGACACGTACCTGACCTGTATCATGAAGTTGATAGAGAGCTGAAAGCGCTGCGAGCCGCTCAGCATCTCTCTTGACTCTATGGTCGCCAATACCAAGCACTGGAGGAGTGGTATCGAGGGCAACGGTCACCCTTCATACTGCTATAAGCACAAGCCAGAAAACATGGCTAAGCAATCATCACTAACCTGTATACCCTCTCTGATGTACCAAAAACAATGCCCTCAACTGATTCATAAGCCGGTTGCTTGTCCAGATGAGTAAAGGTAAAATTAGCGACTGGAGACTTTGGGTTATCTACAAACACAGGTTTTATGTCAGGGCGGGAACCAAGATTCTTCCTGTGCTCCTGTTCAATAAATGCCGCATCACGGATAGGGCCGCCAAGGTCCGGAAGTCTTGATTTCGATGGCTGTTCTTTACTCTTACCCATTCTACGCTTTGATGAATTTTTCTGGGACGACAAACCAGAAATACGCGACCCAAGTGAACCACGGCTTTTGGATGAAGACGGCATCTCGAATGGAGGTGATACAGTAGGATTGCGTTGCGTCCCTTGTGAGGATGCGGACATTGTAGGAATAGTTGTGAAAGCTCCCGCTAGCTTGGGAGCTGTAGGGGGCCATTTCTCTGAAGCTTTGGGCGAGCTACGTGACCGAGAATGATTGACATCTGTAGTATGGTTCTTCTGCAGGCTTGCTGTCGCATAACTGGCAAAGGGTTGTTTGAGAGAGGCTGCGACAGAAGGAGCGCGCTTCAATGACAATATATCCAATGGTATGAGGCGACGCCTGAGAACAGCAAAGGCACAGCTCGTCATGATGACTTGAGGACTGCAATGATGAAAAGCCAATGGACCAATGGTGGACCATAGTCTGGTCGGCCACGAAGCAATTGAACTAGAATCAAAATTTCAAACTTGAGTGCTTTGTCATCATCAATATCAGTGTGACATGTGTGACCATGAATAACCAATATCAATACAATATTAATATGATCAAACTCGATCTACTTGTAAGTAGTTAAGACTGTAACAGTTACGCCAAAAGGCAGTAAATCAAAGCACGCTTTGATTATCGCGGACAGTATTTATGCTGATTATAAGTAAGCAGCGAGCTTACACTACTTAGCTCCGTGTAAGGTCTGTCCGTCTAGAACTCAAAAATGCCTTCGGATAGAGTCATGGCAAGGGGTGGGTCCCGCTTCCGTGACGTATAGGCATCTTGTTTTGCGTGTCCCCCCGGGCCGGGGAGGCACCTCTTTTTGGGAAGTTGACCCATTAGTTTTGCATGACCAATTTTTGTGCCAACAAGGATGTGGTGTATAATCTATTTACATGTTGTCTAATCGCTGCTTGAGAGCGTCTGCAATTCCATTCAAATATTTCAGTCGCACTGCTGCGACTTTGGTTTCCTGCCAGTTCTTTTGAGCTACAAATTTTGTGATCGCGCTCACAACTTCACTAATTTTGTCTGTGACCACAAGTGTCAGTACCTGCCAAACGTTCACAAACGACAAAACTCACTGTCATTGTCCTCTTCTAAGGTGCGAATTCGCTCGATGTCCCCAGATTCGATCTCCTCTCGAACTTCCATGATTTCGCTAATGAGTTCTATATCCTCTAATGGATCTGCTTCTTCAATCATGAGGCCATTCCGCCGCAAAATATATTCTATACGGTGCAAGGGTGACGACAGTGCTTTGTACGCAGCGTTCACCGTATTCGACACGTGAAGTGCAACATCTTGTTGGAACTGCTGAATAAATTTTTGCTACTACTGTACGTAGAATCACTCACTTCATTCTTAGTTGCCCACGCGTCTGGGTGCGAGACTCTCTGTGCTTCGATGAAACGGCGTTTAAGGAGTGCAGCATCCACCACAAACGGGTTAGGCTCATAAGGAAGACCCAGTATATCGTGGTATGATATTGAGGCGTGGATCCTTGCAATATAATTGCAGTTTGGACAGGCAGGCAACGCAGTTGGAAGAATAGTCCCACATGATGGACACGTCTTGGTTAATGAAGTGACCACAGAATGCCGTGAGGAAGATGAACTAGCTTTGTCGGTGAATGCTCTTGCATAATATCCGTTCGACAACGCCAACGGTCGATGAGTTGCTTGAGCAGCAGCGACCGCACGGACAAGGAAAGGACGGAACATTCGGACGAGGGGTTACTTGTTTACTAAGCTAAGAGATGGAAAATTGGAAATGAATAGCATGGAGCATGGAAATTTCCTTTTGGAACAATTTCGTCATAGTTTAGATATATAGGACTTATAAGCTAGAACCACCAGCACGGCGTCGAGAATATCACTGAGTACTTGCTAGTAGGCCAGCCTTTGGACAACTTGATCATAACTCGTCCTCACAATGTCGAGCAGTACTAGCGGTACCGCTGAGCTCCAAATCCAGGACTTGTGCTCCCTGGCCGGGCCTCAGTGGCCTGCTTCTCCTCAGGCAATATTAACGCTCGATGATCCTTCAGCCGCAGAGCCAGCACGTCGTCGGTTGGCTCCAAAGACTCGTTTAAGTATATTTTCTTTCCTTCCAAACCTTTTCTCCTGTTGCCGCTCTAGGCATCACAAACCACAACCAGCGCATTCAGAAACTGAGGCAGACAGCTCAAACAAGTCCATAGAGCAACTTCCGGCCCTCGAACAAACCAACGATAATACCACCATAATCACTTTGGACATCTCAGGTATCTCAGATATCCCTGGCATTAATAAGGACGATTATCGTTGGGCTGTTGTATATGAAAATCAAAGAGGGTATGTATATCATCTACCTCCTTATGTGTGGCAGACTGTAACTATCATCCCAAGCCTCACCGTACTCTCGTCCCCGTATTATTCACACCTATCACTGCTTCCTATCGATCCTCCACAATTCACTATCCCGTCAGATTCTTTGAAACAATCCCGACAACCCAATATCTCTCTTTCCAATTATCCCCTGCCCGATGGCACTTGGCGCTGGGTTTCCAGAACATGGATGATTGACATGCGCACAGACTCAGGAGAAGTTCAATACGACGGTTTTGAGTACAACTGGTTTTTTCGGGAGAAACACTGGCACGCAGAGATTGGCAAACTAAGCACTGGTGCCTGGGTACGGAGAAGACGATGGGTAAGATTGATGATGCGTCCGGCACAGCATGCAATAGCGCACTCGGAGGGGAGTCCAAGTCCTTCCACTAGCAAGAGCAGGCTGTCTGACCAGCCTTTGGATACAAGCTTTGTTTCTCTCGCTTACCCTCAATCAGAGATCACGCTTGACAAGCTTGCTCACTCGGTCAACCTGGAATGGGAAGGAAGTGAACAAGACTGGGTGCGCTGTCATCGACTGATGCGAAGGCTCGGTCGGGATGGTCGCAAACTTGAACTCTGGCGCATGTGGCTTTCGCCGTACTTCTCTGATGTTTCCAATACCCATCCGGGGGACAAAGGGAAGCTTCCTGAATCTAAATTTTCTCTACCAATGAGGTTGGAAAATGATGGCTCAGACATCCAAACTCCACCTCTAGGATACTTGGGAGCACTTCTCCAGAGCCACGTATGCATTTTTATTGACAAGTGTATCATCGTTTGATATCACTTTTATAGGGAGATGCAGTACTCCGGTTGTTTGTCTTCCCGGATTCAAGAGCGCAGTTCATCGATCTTGTCAAACGGGCCGGTCTGGCTCACGAATTAGTGCGAAGTCTTGGAGACGGGTTCTCTTCCACCGAGGTTGACTTCTGGAGCTACTCGAAGGGCTTAGGCAAAGTACTCGACAAGGATGATTAAACAGAATGGGGTCGGGTCGGGCCAAGGACTGGAAGGAAGAGCTCTCTGATGAGGATGTCGTGGTAAAATATATTGAGGTTGTTACAGAGTTACCCGCGAGAGTGGCGTGACTTCCACGGAGATCACCATACAGATCATATCGTTATGCTAATCGTAATATATGTAAATACTGTACAGCAGTGAAGTTGCATGTGAGTGCAACACTCGTCGTTTTCAAACCCGAGCCCTCCTACAGCGTTTTGATGTCAGCGCCGTCTCCTCGGGTCATTGAGCCTACTGAACCAGATTCGGATCATAACAAGGCATCATGGAGAAACATCAATATTAAGAATCTCTGGCCAGATGACCCAAGTCATCCGGTGAAGGTCGCCCTTCGTACATATTCTCTCAGCCTATCTCTCTCCCTTGGTCCTGCACTACTCCCAGTTGCTCTTACCCTCGTCAATCGTTCATCCAGCCTGGAAACTCGTTTGGGTTCATTCAGGCGCGTGTTGAGGCGCGAAGTGGGCCTTACAGGATTTCCGTTCGCCATCACAGTAGCCATTTGTGGTGGAATTGCATTGAAGCACCTCTTGGAAGCAATAGGTGTCCACAATGTCGATAAACAAGACGATCCAGAAGTTCGACAACAGCCAGTGATGGCTTCCACATTACAACGACGCGCAACAGTCCTATCGCTTGCAGCTCAAGCATGCTCAGGCATGTCCAACTCAACGCCCTCTCAGAAAGCGTTCCTGTCAAATATCTTGTCCTCGACAATCGCGTTGTTCTTGCTCCAAAGAACTCGACTATCCAAAGCAGGGTCGCGTCAACCATTCTCAACCATTGGATTAACGCTCTTATTTTTCTGTCGTGCAACCGACGCAATCATGCAGCATTTCTTGTTCGTGACATCAGCCCGGAAAGCTGACCTATTCAACATTTCCTCAAATCGATCGAAGCCAGCTGGACCATCTACTGATTTACTACTGCCTGCTGAAGGCGATGGAAAAACCAAGAAATATAATCGAAGTATAGCTGTATGGCTGGACGCCGTTGTATTTTGGGCCTGCAGTGCTAGGTGCGTGATATGTAGCATTCTTGATGTCAAACATATACATATTCAAACCTTCGTGCAACATCAGAATCATGTGGTGTTTCTTCTACCAGCCACATAGGTGCTTAGCAATAAAATGAAATAGATTGATGTCTAAATCCATTTTTTACAGACTTCCCCCTTCTTACGTGAAATGGTTAGATATCATTCAATCATCATGTCGGGAAGCTCTCGCTCATCGGTTTATGATCAATCACTTATCAGGATATCATCCCTAGCCAACCTAGACAAACGGCTGTTGGACGCCTTGCGTGTTATGCGTTCTAAAGAATGGGTCTATGGGCACAGTTCCTCCCATTCTCACCTCTTGATGTCTTATGCCAAGGACCGCGGATACCCTTCATCTTGGGGCAATCCACATGTCTTGCCTGCATGTGGTACAGGTGCAGATGTAGTCTGGAAGGCGCTTGGCGTGCCTGGCCGGGGTGGTGTGGGCGGATTGCCCTGCGAGCTCCTGCATTCCCGTGTTACAACGCGGTGGGGTCTCGACAACAGCTGTTTCGCAAATGTTGGTGTGAGATTTTCCCTAGCGTTCATTGAGGCTATGGCTCTATACCTGCCTGTAAGTGTATGGCCTGGAGTGCACTGCATTGCACCGCTAATTGTGTTTGAAGGTTCACTTTCTTCCTCTCCTTTTTACTCGCCCTAGCACCATCTTCCAGCGTCATCGTGCCATTCCCGCTCTCCTGGCTGCGATCCGCAGTGCGACATTCCTCTCCACTTTCCTGTCGTCATATTTCTTCGCTGCCTGTCTCACACGTACCTTAGTGCTGGCAAAGCTGTTCCCATGGATCCCTCATGACGTGTGGGATGGGCCATACGGTAGTATTCTCGTGGGATCGCTCACGTGCGGTTGGAGTATACTCATTGAAAACACGCGGAGAAGGGGGGAGATGGCGTTATATGTGTTGCCCAGAGCCGTTAAAGCATTTTTACCGGCCAAATGGACTGCAGGTAATCATGCTGGTGCTAGGCTAGCTGAGCGGTTAGTATTCTTAAAGTGTATTTTCCTTGTGGTACTGATGGGATGCAATAGAATCGTATTTGTTCTGTCGCTGGCTTCACTGCTCACTTTTGCAGTCCATGAGCCAGAATCTCTGAGAGGTCTGTCGCGATGGACCCTCGCTTTTGTCATGAAAGGGTCAAATGCTGAGTTCTGGAAGAAACGTAAAGAACAGATTGAGACTTGTCCTCGGACGCCTATCTCTCCGTCCTCCAACTCAATCTCCACGCAAAGCGTCGATCGTTTGTAAGACGTTCCACAATGCCAACTTAATCCGCGGCAATCCAACTCTGGGACTGGAATATTTTGGGAGAGTTTGCTCATGTCGCTACCAATCTTTGATCTAGATCATGCCCTTTTTCCCGCGTACTTTACGATCTTCGCCCAGATATACTCCTGATTATACCATAAAAACATTTCCAGTCAATATCCTTACGCATCTCCGATTGTCTCGCTTACATTTTGCTAACTAGCTGCTCCAAAGGTGTAACATGTGATCGTAGAATGAGCAACTCCCGATCAATGTCTCCCCATCTACACCTGGAGGAGCAAATGACCAGTCTGCGCCGTATGCTAGCGACTTGTGATCATCAAACCGCTTCACAACTTCCCACATTGCATGTTCTCCGTTGTGGGCCCTCGCCACCTTGAAACCGTCGTGCATACTTGCAACGAGGAGATCCTCCTTACGACTGGGTGATGGATGCCACTTGACACGCCACGCACCCCCTCCAACATCTCCTTGGACGAGCGGTACCAACGGCTTCCGAGTGTCAAAAATACAAACGCTATTATCGTAGCTGTGCGCGATTTCAAAAGCCGTGATGTTGATAGCAAAGAAAAACTACGCACCTTCCGACGGCTATGAGATATTCGATGTGTGGATGGCTCTGAATAGTTGTGACGCCTGCGTTAAATCTTCGAGGGTATGAGAAACAAACAAAGCATGTGGAGATAATTACATGCCGCTTATTTGTAAAGATGGGCTGGATAAAATTCTGTCGGACATCCCAGCCCTTCATGGTTAGGTCGTCTCCACCCGAATAAATGATGGATGTATCCCAATAGTTCCAAGCAGCAATCCAAGGTTCGTAATCGTGCGCGTGCCACCGGTTGACAATAGTCAAATTGCCAGTCGAATCAGGATTCAGAACGCATAGTGATCCATTTGACAAGGAAACTACCAGAGAACCGTGATTGCTGTCTCAGAATCTTGGGTCAGAATTGCTTGCAGTCTCTTGAGCTAGCGTACTTCGTGGGGTATCTTCGGGTAGACCAGTCCAGGGAAAGGCACATAACGTCTGAGGTTGCGCAGGACACGCTCTGAAATGTCTTGAGCTGGCGCTAAAATCAATCACTGAGTCACGATGTATGCGATTGACATACATTAAAACATACCTCTTCTTTGTGCCACTCGTGAAGGGTAACATTCCCTTCCGAGTCTGCAATTCCGAGTACTGGAGAGGCTGTTCGAGAAGTATGACACCTACGATTGTGCAGATATTGACGTTTGATACGACTCAAGCATATGACGCGGATCTCACCATTTCTGGTCGAGGACAGCTGGAAGACTGATTTCCTGAATCTGGGAACTTGATGATAGACGTTGAACCAGTGATTTGCAGGAATCAATTCGCTTACTTACACTCCTCTGTCGTCTGTTACTTGCAATACAAGACACTTTCCACGACGGACTTGACTTTGTTTTCTCGCCGTAGGTTCGAAATCTACTTTATTGTCATCTGTGTGCACCTGGGTATCGGCGAGGGGCTGTTCTAATCGATAGGTTCCGCAAACAAAGATATCAGAAGCACTCTCATGAGGGCAAAACTCGATCGAATCTGCGGGCCAGACGGTATCCAATGCGACCATTGGAGAAGAGGGGAGGTGCAGACGGTGTCTAGATTCGTGTCAGGTGCTTACATAACTAGCCTACTAGGCGCCTGTTCATATCGGCGTCACAACCGCGTCATTACACCTAGGCCTGCACTGCCACGTGTGATGATATCACCAGCAAGTTCTGCAATGTTCGATAAAGGAGTGTAACTCTTTCCCTGCTTCTGGATCATACTACAACTAGGCAAGGTTGATAAAAAGGTAGCCCAGGCAAGGAATCGTTGTCACCAACCTCAGTTCGCTTTTCGCCTTCACCATGAACTTCGACTTCACAGATAAAACCCAACAATCTTTGTCGGGTGCCATTCAACTCGCAAAGGATTATTCTAATGCCCAAGGTATGTGTACATATTCTACTTATAATCATTTGTTGTTTACTCGTTCTCCAAAGTTCACCCTGCACATATCGCTGCAGCTCTCCTAAACGAGGGTGCGGGAGATGATTCACCAACCAGTCTGTCCAACGTTGGTGCAAGCTCCCTATTCTCTTCTGTTATACAGAAGGCTGGTGGTGATCCAGTACGTGTCTACGTGTATCGGCTTGGTATGCCACCTCACCCCCATGACAGGTCATTGTAAAACGTGGACTTCAGAAGATCATTGTCAGACTACCCTCACAATCTCCATCTCCGGAGGAGATCTCCATGAGCGCTAGCGCGTTGAAGGTTTTGCGTGAGGCCCAGTCACTCCAGAAAACTATGCACGACTCCTACATCGCGCAGGATCATATAATTCTCGCACTTCTAAAGGACCCATCGATATCCCCTATCATCAAGGACGCTGGTCTCACTGAGGCCGCCTTGAAAACAGCTACCGAGCAGACTAGAGGAAACCGTCGAGTGGAAAGCAAGAACGCAGAGGCAGGATTCGACGCTTTGCAGAAATATGCGGTCGACTTGACTGCTCTTGCCGAAGAAGGGAAAATCGACCCTGTGATTGGCAGAGATAATGAGATCCGGAGGATCATTCGTATTCTTTGCAGAAGGTAGGATTCATATTTTTCTGTTGGTAGTCACCTCTAAACTTACCTTGTCCAGAACAAAGAATAATCCTGTGCTCATTGGCGAGCCTGGTGTTGGAAAGACATCGATAGCGGAGGGTCTTGCTCAGCGTATTGTTAACCGGGACGTGCCAGCCAGCCTCATTGGGCGCCTGTTTTCGCTTGATATGGGCGCGTTGATGGCTGGTGCGAAGTACAAAGGCGAGTATGAGGAACGCATCAAGTCAGTTTTGAGCGAAGTGGAGAAATCATCCGAGGACGGCCAATCTATTATTCTATTTGTGGATGAGCTTCACCTCATCATGGCTGGTCGAGGTGCCGAAGGCGGTGGCATGGATGCAGGCAATCTCTTCAAACCGCTTCTGGCTAGAGGCAAGCTACGTTGTATTGGGGCTACCACGCTAAGCGAGTATCGGAAGTATATCGAGACAGACGCTGCTCTGGAACGGAGATTCGCACAAGTTTTGGTGAACGAACCTAGTGTTTCCGAGACGATTAACATTCTGAGAGGCATTCGGGAAAAGTATGAAGTTTATCATGGTGTTCGAATTTTGGATGGTGCCCTGATCTCTGCTGCCACCCTGGCTCATCGATATCTGACTTCGAGACGTCTTCCCGATGCCGCCATTGATCTTGTCGACGAAGCTTGTGCAAGGTATGTTTCCTTAACACCCTTTATGAAACTACCTTACGGATTGTGCTAGTGTTCGTGTTACCCGAGAGACAGCACCTGAATCCATCGACAAGCTTCAACGTCGTAAGCTCGAACTGGAGGTTGAAATTCATGCTTTGGAACGCGAGAAGGATCAGGCCAGCCATGAGCGTCTGAGTGTGGCTCGCAAAGCCATCGCCGATGTTGATGACGAACTACAACCGCTTCGGGCTGCCTATGAGGCTGAAAAGCGCAAAGGCGACGAGATTAACGAAGTGCGAAGGAAGATCGACAATCTACGCGCTAAGGCCGACGAGGCAGAGAGAAGGTGTGCTTGCCATTCTGGATTAATCGAGCATCTCCTGACTACAGCACATATTAGATATGACCTTGCAACTGCATCTGACCTTCGCTATTATGCCCTGCCAGACCTCCAGAATCGCCTGGAGACTCTTCAAGCCAAAAAGCTCGAAGAGGACGTCAAAATTGGTGGAGGTACAGATACCGTCACTCCCGAACAGATCGCAGAAATTGTCGGACGGTGGACGGGTATTCCAGTCACACGTTTGATGTCAACCGAAAAGGAGAAACTCCTTCGCATGGAACGTATCCTTGCCGATTACGTTGTTGGTCAGCCGGAACCTGTGAAAGCTGTTGCCAACGCTATCCGGCTCTCGAGAAGTGGACTGGCTAATGCTCAGCGGCCTATTGCCAGCTTTTTGATGGCCGGTCCTTCTGGCACAGGAAAAACGTTGCTCAGCAAGACAGTAAGTTGATGTAACTTCGTCATAACTACAGTCACTAACCGAAACCTTCACAGCTCGCTACTATTCTCTTTGACACCCCTGATGCTATGATTCGCATCGATGGTTCTGAATATTCTGAGAAGCATTCTATCGCACGTCTTATCGGCGCCCCACCTGGCTATGTTGGTCATGATGCCGGAGGACAACTCACCGAATATGTTAGGCGCAAACCCTATTCCATCGTCCTCATCGACGAGATTGAGAAGGCTTCGCGAGAATTCGTCACACTCTTCCTTCAAGTCCTCGACGATGGCCGACTCACTGATGGCCAGGGCCGCGTTGTCGACTTCCGGAATACCGTTATCATCATGACATCAAATCTTGGTGCTGCATACTTAAACGACGTAGGTCAGGGTCCAGTAACTTCGCAGACCAAGCAGCTAGTCATGGGGGCAATAACGGGCCACTTCCCGCCCGAGTTCATCAACCGTATAGATGAGATTGTCGTCTTTGTAAGTCATCGCATGGCATGCATTTTAGGTTCTAAATTTCTTACACTATGATACAGCGTGCACTTTCCAGAAGCAGTATGCTCAAGATCGTAGACTTGAGGCTCAAGGAGGTCCAAGACCGTCTAGCCGAGAAGAAAATAGTACTCGACATTGATAACGAGTCGAAAAGATACTTAGTGTCCATCGGGTACTCGACGACATACGGAGCAAGGCCGCTGAACCGCGCTATCCAGAGCGAGCTCCTGAATCCCTTGTCGGTGATGCTACTTTCTGACCGCATTCGCGATGGGGAGACTGTGAATATTCGGTTCGACGCCCCCCGCAACAAACTTGTTGTCGTACCCAATCATGAAGGCCAGGCCGATGTTGATGCAATGGATGAAGATTGGAATGAGGATAATGACATTGAAATAGAAGAGATGGATTAAGGAACGTGTGCACTTCTGTAATTATAGTACCCATGCACTGTATCATAATATGCATGACGGGCTAGTACTGTAGCCTTTGTAATTGTAGCTAGGAATCTGAAGATTAACTGACTTTCCTTTCTTGGTGAAAGTCCTTGCGACTTTCGGGTTCGACCGCGGTCTCGATGTCCGCAACCGTGACCATGCTTAGCCGTCGTCTGATACATCGCGCCTCTCAGCTGAAGGTGCTAAGTCGCTTTTCTTCTTCTTCCGCAAACCCTGTAACACCTATACCCCCTTCTCCATCACCCGTCGCGAACCAAGCACCCAATTATCCAACGACATGGACAACTAGCCAGAGACCTCGCGCGGTCGCCCAGTCAGGTCCACGTTTTGAGCAGACCGTTCTCGAACTCCAGCCCAATCCATTGAGCGCAATGGAGATGATTAACAATGAGCCTATCCGTGTTGTGCATGGGCGGAAAGCTGTTTGTGATGGTGGTCAGTAATACTTTTTCTTCTCAACTTGAGCGTCGGTACGACAATTTGTTGCAGGAGGAGGACCTCTTGGTCATCCCAAGATATTCATCAACCTGGTTTGTGTTGGTACTTCTGGATGCTGTTCCATAATTGACATTCTTTTGCAGGACAAACCTGGTGCTCGGCCATGCGGGTAAGTATTGTCATGGCTTGGCTTGATTGTCACCACTAACAAATTTGTTGTACTTTACCTTTAGCTACTGGTATGTGACTATTTTTTCTAGCCGGACTTCGAACTCACGTACGACTTCCAGCGGCCTCCGCTTTGAACAAGCTCCACATGACCACTAAGTAGAACGCTCAGGATGTTAAGCTATATAATTAGCACGGGCTGTCCACCAGCGTCTGGCATATGACTAGATTAAATATTTTCATCCCGTGTTAAACAATGCTTTGCATGTTTCTGATTGCCGCCTATTGCAAATGTGAGTAAAAGTACAGCGGCGCTCTACAACGCCCAACCAGAGTAAATATTTATGCTACTAGAATGGGGTAAGTATGGTAAGATAAACCAGGAGGAATACTAGAGTCACAGTGAATCCGGGCGATGTGCCCGATCAACCTCCTGGGTTCGGTGAGATACGGTTTAGAGGGCGCCGGGCGGTAAGAACGAACAGATGTAGCAATGAATGATTTATATGTCCACCAGTTGAACGTTCCTAACCTCACAAGACCTGATAAATAAAACCAAAAGGAGAGTGGTGATGCCACCGGCATCAGTCATCTTCCGGCGAATGGAAGGACATGGGCGATAATGGAGGGTATTCCCCTTCTGCAACTGCCTCCAGTTGAGAAAATGGAGGGAGAGAATGTGGTGATGATAAATGATCACTGGGCGATGTTGGTAATGGAGTCTGAGATGGAAGTCAGCTCTACTTGAGATGTAGAACTAGAGCTTTGCTTACTTACCACTTTGAATATCGGATTTATGACAGATTGAGGGTCTATCCCTGGACTTGGAGGGTGACCATACAACTGCCCGTTACATTCATATGACTTATGAGAAGACGAAGGATATCGTATCATCGGAGGAACCATGTATGATGAGTGTTGTGGACTGGAAGAATCGGTACGGATCCACGGCCGTGGTGATGGTGATAGGGAAAGGAGATTTAGAGGTGGAGGTGAGGAAGCTCCTGATGCAGAAGATGTAGTATCAACAGAGGCACGTATGCAGAAGTCATTGAACTGGTGGTCCAAAGAGATAGAGTTCGATGACCGAGCAGAAGTGGGGAAATCATCAAAAGACGTCGTGCCCGTGCGTAGTGAGGAAGCGGACGTCATTCGGTTGATCCCATACAGCGTTGGCCTTCGCGTCCGTGATGGGCCAGGGTCGCTGTCGACTGTAGCAAACGAGATGGCGGACATTCGGCTTAAGCTGTGAACGTCTGATGAAGACATGGAATGGTCGTCATCAAAGCCTCTTCGTCGAACTTTCGTCAAACGTTCATCTCGTAACCCCCATCGGTCGTTAGGAGCCAGCGTCCCGTCGATAGGGTTAATATATCGACCTGAAGCAGCGTTCAACGTCGGCGATGACACCTTTGCACTTCCTTGGGTCTCCTTCTGTCGAATAGGACCAGAAGCAGATACCTTGCTCTTCTCCATCTCATCGTAGGGCGTTCCTCGCTGGTTGGAATTTAGCAAACTGGCATGTGTTTGCCACATCCACTCCAACTCGTTCCGCGAAGTAGTTTGCATGTACATTTGGCTGCGTTTCTGCATGACTGCACGAGCCTGCTCCCTCTGGGTCCGTTCTGCCATTGCGCGGCGCTGCTTTTCCGCTTCGCGTAATTGTCGTTCGGCCTCTTTCTTGATAGCTTTGGCATTCTTACGAGTTGAACCGTTCATAGGCTGTAACTCTGCCAATGATGGACTATCCGAGCTGGTAGATTGCGTACGCTTGAGCGACGGCGTCGAGTTGGAAGACGCACCCGGTACCTCGTCGACGGGAGGAAGTTGCTGATGGACCTTCTCTCCGTGTCCAAACATGGAAAGACCCCATTTAGAGGGCTTCTTGCCAAGGCTGAAGTGTAGCTTGCTGCTGAGTTTGATGCTCGGCGATTGGGTAGCATCATGGGCAGGCATCGGATGGTCAGGTTCAACGCGGGGACGAGTCTGGTACTCCGGTACCATCGGTGAAGATTGTACTTCCATCGGGTAGCCCGCGTGGTAAGCATCGAGAAGGGGCTCTGCCTGTGGAGAGGATACCTCCATCTGATCGGAGTCACTCCGTGCGTGACTAGCCCATGAGGAAGCGCCCCCTTGAGCGCGTGCTTCTTCTGGAATATCCGAGTAATGCGAATGCGAATGTATGCGTGGATCAACGACATATTCGGGCGTTTTATGTGAGGTAGGTGTGTGAATAGTTGACGTGACAAAGGAGGGGACGAATGCAGAGCGATGGGAGGAGGAAGCATCGGGGATATGTGACGGGTGCAGGCTTGGGGGTTGATGGTAGGGTGATTTCGGGGCGGAGTTATGTGAATGTGACGGAGGAATGCTGCGTGGTGAAGCAGAGGGAGTGATGTGATATATGCCATTCGAGACAGATCTCGATGGCGTTGGTGGCAGAGTCTGTGTGTGAAGAGCAGGAGGCATCGGGGGTCCATTCCCTGGTAAAGCCTCGATAAGGTATGGGTGTTCGAGACACTGTCGACTCGTGAGACGACTATCAGGATCATACTTCAGTAAGTCTGATATACAATCAATAAGTTTGCGAGGGACACTGCGGTCGAAATACGAAGAGAAGTCCCGAGGAGTGCTCTGACGTGACATGTCAACAATATTCAATACGTACATAATACTGCAGCAACCAACCTTTGGAAAAGCGAAATTAAATTGTTTCGCCATCTTGAGTCCTCTGCTCCATTTGCCACCACCAAGGGATCTACCGCGGAGATCCGTTCCATGGTCTGCAGGATCCCCGAGAACCTCGCATATGCGATGTATTTGGTCTATTTGACCGGATCCTGGAAATAATGGTCGAAGGTTGACTAACTCAGCCATGATCGTACCAAGGGCCCACATATCCACTGGATTCGAGTAATCTCGACTGAGAAGCAACACCTCCGGGGCTCGATACCAACGGGTTGAGACGTATTCCGTGTATGGCGGTGAACTGAGTGTCTCCCTCGCAAGCCCAAAATCGGCTAGCTTGATGATCGCGACAACATCCTTCTCCGTAGGTGCATTTGGAGGGGCTACTGGGGATAGTGAACGATATTCGAAGAGACCCGTTGTCGTAACGAGAACATTCTCGGGCTTCATATCACGATGGAAATAACCTGAAGAATGAATGTGGTGTAAACCCGAGACGATCTGGCGAAAAATAGAAGCGACTAGGCCGCCAGCAAGGGTACGGCCTTTTCTCGCCTTTATTAGATGATATAAATTCCCTTCCATGGACTCGAAGACGAAATAGAGCTCCTTAGTATCTGGGAGGAGAAAAAAATCATAGAGTGGAATGATGCAAGGGTGAAATGGTATTGCGCGTAATGACTGAAAGGGTTGGTGAGAATGGGAGTGGTGAATAGAAGTTAATTGACATACTTCGAGCTCCTTTAGCTTTTTACATTCGTCCCAACCCCCTTCCCACTTCTTTTTCATCCTCTTGACGGCGACAAGACGCTTTCCAGCCCATTCTGGTCTAGCGCCGCCACCGCATTGCATAGGAGAAAGTGGTGTATTGGGCGGTAGCGTCCCATGCCAATCACACAACAAGACTGTTCCAAAAGAACCGTCACCCAGGGTCTTGATTGGTGTATAAGAGCGATGTGAACCTTTAGGTCAAATTGCGAATATGAGAGACAAGGAAAGAGATTGAGATACTCAAGACTGACTGGAACGAGAGTCTCCGACTTGGAGTTTTCCATTCTGTATGGAAACAGAGGGTATACCAATGACAGAAACTGTCTCCTTTGGCTGAGATGAAGCTGCCGATTTGTGGGATTGGGAAGGTGGTGGTGGGTGAAAGTGACCATTTGTTTGGTGGATAGTATGTCCATTTGTCTGGTTATTGTTGTGCGAGTCGTAGTGTGTATTTGAGTGACCATTGCTCTGGTGGGCATGATTCGAGGATGTGAACATGATACGCAGAGCATTGCCTGGCGATGGAAAGTGGGAAGGAGAATTTAACGAGAGGGCCAGCACGGATGCTGAGGCTAAGGGAACATACGACGAAAGAGACAATAAGTGATGATAAGAAATGTACCGAATGCTCGCAATTAGCTAGACGAGGACTACGACTATGACGAACTCGAAAAAACAGACAAGTGTTGAAGACAAGAGAGCAGAAAAGGTAAAGCGAGGAGGTTTAGTCGAAAGAAGCATCTTCATCGCCAGACTAGGGAACACTACTAAAGCTGTGCTACAACAACCGAACTCAATAGCTCTCTCTCCCTCTCTCTCGACGTTGATGGTGAGTACATCAGTTTCATCCTGTGAGATTACACAACCGGTACGTTCAATATTTTCATACTCATGCCAAAAACTTTCAATTGTATAGTGGTATAGCCCTCAGGAATTTTCTGTGAGTTTCACTCCGTCTCAGTCCTCCCTAACACATGTCTTTCCCAGCTTTTCCCGGGTTCAACCGGATCTCATTATGTTGCCCAAATATTCGGTCCCGTTCTCCTCCATCCTGCGTACCACCGAGGGCTGTCTAGCCGGCTACCCTTAGACCCTACGCAATCACCTTCTCGTTATGTAGTCCAGAACTTCTCAGAACCACACCGTGGCAATTTTTTTGTGACACCCCAACGGCACCTTAATTATCTCTCAGCAACCGGTTGGCCTCTCTTTCTTCATCCTGCCCATGATCGATGATGATGCAGCCGCATCTAGTGATATATCCACCAGTGGCAGCCACTGCCTTTTGCGCAGCCCAAACTTCATTCCGGCGACGCCCCTTAGAAGAATGGTCCTTCCGCTTCAACCCTTGTAATAAGCGACCCGCGATAGGATCTCACACCTTTCACCTCTTAATTTGGAATTCGAATCTTCTGTCATATCGTCATAAACTCACCTGCTAACCGTGCGCGTGATAGATTGAGTTTGGTTTAAAAACTTTGTCTCACGAATTTGATCTTACAGCAAGGTCACCTATAATTGGCGGGATACTTGATATTTGACATGCTTTTTCATCTGATGCTCTGATATTGATCCGAGTACCATGGCCAAGTCTAGACACAAGCCTATCCTCTACTACATATGTATATATCCTTCTCGCAGCTCGGATGCAAATACACTCGTATAATAATATCCTCTCGTTTATTCCTTCTAGTACGGAACCTCATGGAAGAGCTTCGACACGCTCTCCCCATAATGGCTTCGCCGGATAACCTCCCCGAGGACAGGTCCGATGTCAATAACTTCGATCTTGGAACACTTTGCCTGGTTCTCCTTCTGAGGTAACGTATTGGTCACGATCAGTTTCTCCAACACGCTCTTCTCAATATTTTCTAGAGCATTGCCGCTCAATATTCCATGTGTCACGATTGCGTAAACCTTGGCAACACCTGCTTCGGTGAGATGATGCGCGGCAAGACACAGCGTTCCGGAAGTGTCGGCCATATCATCGATGAGGATGGCAACTTTGTCCTTGACATGCCCAACGAGAACCATGCGCGATACGGAGTTGGCCTTTTTGCGCTCTTTGTGAAAAAGAGCAAAATCGACGCCCAGGCGATCTGCGATGGACGTAGCCCTGAGATATAATGATGAGAGTTGTCATAAACCTCCTATCGGTAAGTTGTCACCTCTTGGCGCCGCCCGCATCGGGGGAAACGATTACGACATTTTGAAGATCAAAATGGGTGCGTATGTACAGGATTGATGATGGCTCGGCGAAAAGCTGGAATGGGCACGTGTCAAATTATTGCCCAATCTATAAAATGCCACAGCACTTACGCTGTGCACGACAAAAATGGACGAATATGAGTGACCACGCTTGGAAACAGGGTCAAACGTTAGACTTACTTATCCACTGGCACATCAAAGAATCCTTGAATTTGTGATGCATGGAGGTCCATGGTCTATATCCAAGTTGTCAGCGCATCGACGCATTGGGTTGACAGAGCACTCAAGTCAAAACAGCGCAAACACCGGAACGGTGCCCCGATGTTCCTTGGATAGATACTTACAATAACGTGATCACAACCTGCTTTTTGTATCATGTTTGCTACGAGTTTCGCCGTGATTGGGGCGCGGCTCTTGTCCTTCTTATCTTGTCGTGCGTATGGGAAAAGAGGAACGACAGCCGTTATGCGTTTAGCACTTGCAATCTTGCAGGCATGGATCATGATACAAAGCTCCATGAGGGATGTGTTGACTGCTCCGCAGCCAGTATTGATAATGTACACATCGTTCTCGCGAACGCTCTCTGCGATGCGGACGCTCGTCTCGCCAATGCCGCTCTTGGTTACATCAGCTTTCGCAAGAGGTAGACCAAGGCTAGAGAGTGCATGGGTGAACAGCGCGCTCGCGAGTTCATTTGTATTTACCGTCGAGCAATGATCTCCGCCAGCTCGGGATGGCTGGTGCCTGTCAGGGTAAGTGTCACTCCGTAAGAGAAGGTCGCAAAAGTCAGAATCTAAAGACGAACCAGTGAAGATTTTGACTCCAGTTCCGTTCAGCATGATATTAATTTAAGTACAAGAGAGAGATATCCATGGATTGTAAGAAAAAGAAAAAAGGAAAAAGCGAGGAAAAACAAAACTAACACTTATCACACGTGTCACAGAAAATCAGCGTGTGACTGCGTGACGATAAGATGATGGCTGTGCAGGGCGGCTGAGAGGCAACTAAAATAGATAGTAGGCAACTTGATGTGCACAATTCTTCGGAGCTTCCTAAGGATCACAATAACAAGTTTTCTTGTATGATTGCACCACATGTTACAACTTTGATCAAAGTCTTAACATAGGAGACGGGCCAATGGACTTCACTACTGGGATTACATACATGCCGTGCCATTAAGCGATACAAACGGGAGGAAGGCTGGATCTCCTCAAAATGCCACAAGACGCAAAACTGTAAAATCGGGAGGATGATCCGTGATTCATTGTTTACGTACGCTTTTTGCAGAATGTCTTGTGGCGAGCACGCCAGTCCTTCGCCTAAGCATTGTGGAGTAGCATGATAGTTAAACGTCAGGTAGGCGACATTAATTTCGTAGCTCACCTGGCAGGCCCTTCCACAATAGAAGGCGGACTGTTGAACAAAGCCACTCAGTTCTCTCATGCGTCTTTCAGCCTGAAATTGCCTAAAATTGCGTACCTTGCATCCAGAACAAGCCAAAAGCTGGCTCCGGTCAAACGTTTCACCAGGACACTGACAGTGCGATTAGCAGATGTTATAAAGATGACATGAGACTACCTCACGTCATAGTTTCCGCAGACCATGATATCTACAGGATGGGATAGTCTTACCCTTCTCGCTTCCTCAAGGTCACCCTTCACTTCATGCACCTGACCAAGATTCTCGACAGAGACTGCCGCATCATATGCAGGACCATTCTCCATGCGGACAGAAACAGCCTTCTTGAGCTGCTCTTCAGCATCCGTGATCTTGCCCATCTTGAGGTAGAGTTCTCCGAGTGCATTGCGAGTTATGGCAGTAGTAAGATTATTCTCACCAACTGTACTGAGTTTAAGGTGGAGTGCTTGCAGGTGGAGATCCTCTGCACCGGCATAATCGCCTTGGCTAGAAAGGCTAAGGGCTTGGTTGTTTATTATAGCCGCCTGTGAAACAGCCATCCCAGAGGCCTGGTTGGAATGCAAGTGCATTGTGAGGCCAGACATTTGAAGGTGATACAGTGAGTACGATGAGATGGTAAATGTACTGAGATGAGGTTTTTGTGATGTCTATTGTTCAGCTCGCTTTGTTGGGAAGCGCCAACTTCCGAATCCCGCTCCTGTCCGAACGATCCAGATGTGGCCTACGGTATGTTTTTATTGAAAGAAATAGCTTCGATTGTCGGGGAACAGGAACCTTGCAATCAGCATATATCAGAACCTAAGCCGTTGACTTTAGCATTAGCTTGGATCGAAGTGAATATCATGTAACAGGGTTGACATGGACACCCAGGCCAGTGATACTTTATGCTTTGCTAGACTGGATTACATGCCTGCCGTGCCGTTGCGATAACAGTGTCAAAACATATTTTTACCTCACACAGACAGGAGAGCTCTGAGGGTGTCCTCAAAGTTCCACGACACGTAAAATATTACTCAACCATGGATTCGTATATGTGGTCTAAAGTCGGGTACCTTGCATCCAAAACAAGCTAAAAAGCTGGCTCTGATCAAACGTTGTACCGGGACACTAGCAGATCATTAAGCGGGTGCCATAAAGATGTATTGAGGTGGTACATACCAGGTTATACACCACAACGTTTCCAAGGTGGAACTGTCCTAACCCTAACTTCCTCCCGCCCTTTGCTTCAACATGCACCTGATCGAGATAAGTATTAGTACCTATTCTCTTGCTGATAGAGGCAGCCTTCTTGAGCTGCTCTTCAGCATCCGAAACTCTGCCCATCTTGATGTAGAGTTCTCCAAGGTCATTCTCACCAATTGCGCTAAGTGCGCAAAGTTAAAGAATCATTAATCAGTGACGGTTTGTGACAAAGAATATGTGTTGTGTCATGTTTGTTACGTGGCTAAAGCGAAATCATACGCTATCACTCACCGCTAACAACAAGTGCATCAATCGTCTTTCCATCCAACTGTGTATACAACGATCAATTCCAAGACTGGCATCCTGAACTCTCTTTACTTATTTCTTTTCTCTCTCTTTCTCAATTGAACATGACTTCTTCCTCGTCCTCATCGCCAGAAATGCACCCTGCTCCTCCGGTAGACTCCGCTGAACGCTTTTCCTATAAACTTGCAACACATGAAGAGGTCCTTGAAGATCTATCTAGGTATATCCACTCCATCTATGTTCAATTTTCTTCTTACGCCAAAAAGTCGCTTTCTTTTAAATCTCCCAGAGGAAGAACTATCGTCTCTTGAGCGGATATGTTTCCAGGTGGAGCAAGCGTAAGCTGCCCGCAGTGCTTGCGATTCCCTTCCGGCTCACATTTTTCATATAGGCATTGGTTCTACGAAGACTTCATCCGAGAACAAAATCCCAAATTTCCATCGCTACCGCTGAAGAAATTCTCCGCAATGCTTTTCCAAGCTTGTCCTCTGCTACACCAGTGGAGTCACGATCATGAACAAGCCTTCAATACCTTCATGCAATACAAGACTAGAGTCCCTGTATGCGGCGCAATTATGTTAAACGACACCTGGGAAAAGGTATGGTGCTCTTGGTGCTCAAGAAAGAACACAACTTACTCAGATCTCTAGTGTATCCTTGTCAAGGGGTGGAAGTCGTCTTCTGGTTGGGGCTTTCCAAAGGGTAAGATAAACGAGAGCGAGCCTACCCATGAGTGTGCCATTCGAGAAGTGCGTCGTGTTGTCCACATTCCTGTCCGGCGACCTGAGATTCTCCGCTAGGTGCTTGAGGAGACCGGTTATAATCTGGCAGGTCAGCTGGTTCCTGCAAACGTAATTGAAATGTCGATCAAGGAGCAATGGATTTCTCTCTTTGTGGTACCCGGAGTCCCGGAAGACTTTCCTTTTAAAACTCGGACCCGCAAAGAGATAAGTGTACGTTCATTTAGTCACGCCTCCCCTTTTTTGTCGTAATTTTTTCTTGCAGCGGATCGAGTGGTTCAAGTTAACTGATCTTCCAACCTGGAGGCGGAACAAAGCCGCACCAGGAAAGTTTTATTTAATTTCCCCCTTCATCGCGTGAGTCTCCTTTTATTATTTGTTTATCAGTTGTCGTCAACTTCGAGTAGATCGCTGAAGGCATTCGTCACTGCCAATAAGCCTCGAGCAATGGAGGGGCGAGTTCGGAGGATTGGAGGCTACACGAGTACGGATAATTGCACACATGAGTCTAGCTCATCTTCGGCGGATAATGGCGAACCCCAGACGCCGTCTCCTCAGTATAGCGAGGCACTTCCTGTGACAAACCGTCGTGTAGCTACCCACGAATCCGATGACGAGCAAGCTGTCGATCCCGAACACATGGACCCGCACTTTGCTCGTCTACTCAGTTCTCTGACGCTTTCGGCTGTCAAGCAAGA